TCCCCTAACTGATTACCCTGTAAGTGATAATCCACCTTAACCTCTGCCGTGGTTAGGCATCAACGACTGCCCGACAACTGATACCCTGAGGTGGGCACCAACCACTGCCCTCAAGGTACCTGTGACGAAAATCAAAGCAGATTATCACTCACCCACACCAGATGGAAAACATCCTACACTGTTGGTTCCTAACCCATCACTAGCCAGCAAAACACCCACGAAACAAAGAAAGGTCTGTCACAGCCAAAAAATACACTCCAGACACGCCGCAGGCAGTAGAGGCACAGCATGGCCTCGTAGTGACGGCCCCGACCACTGCCACTCGACCTGACCGGAGAAAACCATAGCAGGGTGCTAGCGAAGTCGTGGTATATATTGTCAAACAGAGCTGTCCGGTAAACCGTAGGCAGAGAGGGAGAAGAGGGCAACAAACGAGGGGCTGTGACAAACTGTTTCGGCGGAGTTTCACTGACTCATCAGGAGGCTGAACCCTCAACAGTCTGCAGAATTCCCTAACTGACTACACTGTAAGTGATAATCCACCTTAACCCCGGCTGTGGTTAAAAATGAACGACTGCCCGACAACTGATACCCTGAGGTGGGCACCAACCACTGCCATCAAGGTACCGGTGATATATGTATATGTGCAAGTGTGCCGCTTGGGCGGCAGACAGGTGGGTGGGCACTTGGTGCTGAACCACACAAATGTGGCCAACCTTGTATCTTCTACTATACTGTTTCTCTATTTTTTTGTGTTATGGATGCTTTGTGATGATTCTTGGATGGAATGAGAGAGAGAATTTGGTTCTTTTTTTAAAACACACGTATATAACGGTTTTAGTGTGCTGCATGTTGCTTGCTATAGAGAGAGGTAAAACTGTTTCAGTTCTGGATCTAGTCATCTGGGTTGAAAAAGCGTTGTTGTGGTGACAGTTTCCAGCACACACAGACATTCATTAACCCAATATCACAGAAATGACACACAGATTTTCACATCAACCGATGGAGCCTGTGTCTGCGCGCGCGCGCGCGCAAGAGAGAGAGAGAGAGAGAGAGAGAGAGAGAGAGAGAGAGAGAGAGAGAGAGAGAGAGAGAGAGAGAGGACGGCCTTTGGGAGGGCTTAGAGACGAGCACAGCAGCTACTTAGTGGTGCGACCTGGTGGATGGCTTATGGACAATTTGGTTGGGTCCTACTACGGAAAATTCAAGAATTTGAAACTACCGATTAGAGGCCCGGAAAAAAATGAATGACCGCTGCTGCTTTTGAGGGATTTATTGATGAAAATGCACGCTTTTGGGGCACTTAGAAACAAACTGGGTAGAAGGGGAAAAAAAACAAAAAAAAAAACAGCCTTATGGCTCTGGCTTCTTGTCCATTCTAGGGAGCATCAGTCCGGTTCCTATTCCACTGGTGTGTCAGGAATACATATTACAACACACTCTAAAAGGTTTCTCCCCGTTATGGCTGGGAGACCCCTGGGGACGGCATGGATTATCTCCAGTCTGGAAGGATGTACCTCCCCTCACCCCTGCCTAAGTTAGCCTATTGCTAATAATAGTATATAATACCCTTGCTGTCTGGTTCCATTTGGCGCTCTTCTACTCCTGAAGCTAGTTCAGATCTTTTTTTTTTTTTTTTTTTTTTTTGAAAATCTGGTCGGTCGGTCCGCAGCCAGGAAGTGATAAGAGCATCTCCCTGTCTGAGGATCCTCCCTTAGATTACTCCGTTCCATTGGTGGGGGGCTGCACCTGCTGGAAACCGGGTCCAGCGTCCCTTACATCAGACTGATTGAAAGACACCCGGACAAGCAATCACAAAAATAGAGCTTCGGGGTCTTGAGGTCGGATATGATCCTCCCTCTCGTCCCATAAATGACGGGAAAAGGTTAGTTGATTGTTATCTGAGAAGTGAATCCACCGAAATTCAGAGGCCCATGACTCAGACATAGACCTCTGTGCAATCGAAGGTAGAGGAGAAAGAAGTCTCGCCCTTCTCCATTCTGCCAAAATCAGGGTTCTAACTGCGCTTATAAAGGAGTTACGAAGGCGAGAAACTGCCCAGTAAGAACTGTTAAATCTCCGGTCCCTGCGGGCTACCCATAAGATCCAGAAACCAACAACTCCTAAATTTGTTAGCAATTTTGCCTCTGGAAGACTTAGACTGGTCCCCAAATAGAATCAGCGACTTTGTCCAGTATGAACAGTCCTTATAAGCTGCCCTCCATAGCCAACCCACCGAGTCCCAGAATCCTCTGGCTACCACACATTCCCACCACAAGTGGGAAGAGTCCTCCAGGGACTGGTGCGGGCAGACATCACATGCTGTTGGTATTTCCATTCCGCACACCATGCTGCTGTGGGAACACTGTTGTGCAGGTGGAGCCACTCTAGACCCGCCAGCTTGACTTCAAGAATCTCCAGTATCTCATAAACGAAAAGAAGGACCCAGCTGAGGCCTGGAGCCCTCAGGCTATCATTCCTGGAAAGTCTGTTCCATGAATCCCAAACTCTGAACCGCAGGGATGAGGCCTTAGATTGCAGTTTGTAGCCCACCTGTGAGGAGTAGTCTGGAAGCAAGACTGTTGAGACCTCAGAAGAGTCTGCTGTGATGTTCCATCCCAGTCTCGTTTCGTCCACCTTCCAACTACAGAAGGGGGAACCCTCTCTTGCTGGTATGAAACTGGAAATGCCATTATTACGAATCACTGTCTTAACCTTGACTTCAGGGCAATGTGTAAGGTCTGAGATCTGGGTTGGGGGGTCGATGCGGCTGAGGGACGTCCCTGAGTACTTCCATGTTGCAACCTCTGATGCCCCAATGTGGCCGTTCTTTAGTACCTGATAGAATCGCTCCGGGGAAGCAGGGTCTCGCCACCACGAACCCTGAAGAACCACTGATGCCCCTGCTGCTAGGGTCACCGTCCATTCCCTTGGTATTGCTGCTATCAAGTCGAGCCGATGTTGACCCACATTGTGTAGCCCTCTCAGTTTCCTGCAAAGATGTTCTTCTGAGTACCATGTTGCTGACTGACTATCCCAAAGGTGAGAAACCTTCCACACCCCTTTCTGGAGCCATTTCCTGGCAAAGTTGCCTGGGGAGTTGGCTACTGAGAAGGTGTGGCCTGATGCATCCAGGACAGCCGGGTTTTCGAACAGACTGGAAGAGAGGATTTCGGAGGTGGAAGATGGGGGTATGATTGTGGAGGGTAGAATCTTGGCCCAGGCGTTAAGGATCGGCCCCCAAGTAGGGGACTTCACGGACCTGAGCATTGGGTAGTAAAGGAGAGATTGCCAGACAGCTTCGTGGTCACACAGGTCCCATTCCCTGGCCAGCGTGGCCTGTGCAAGCAACATCCAAGGTTGGGTTTCGAGTGACGTTAGTAAGCGGACTGGCCATTTGGCCAGTAGGGCTGTGTTCTGTGCTTCAGGGTCTAGGATACCCAGGCCACCATCCCGTTTTTTCTCAATGAGTTTCCACCACGCAACCTTGTTAATGCAGGAGGGGATGCTTGAGTCGCCCTTCCATAGGAATTTAATGAGTAGTTGTCTTATCAGTTTGGCCGAAGAGGTGGTTAACTGGCGGAAGGCCAGGATGAACCAGATAGTGGACAAAATAGAGCAGTTTGCCACGAGCGCTCTCCCCAAAAGGGAGAGGTGTTTCCTGGCTGACCATTTGGCGCATGTGTCACGAATTCTGTTGTCAATTACTGATGCCTGATCTTTGCTGCAATCTCCGAAAGAAACCTTGATACCCAGGTATCTTTCTCATTCAGTTGTTTGAGTCTGTTTGAGCCCGAAGTCAATTGCCAGAGGTGAGCCATCATGTGTAAGGGCTACGGATTTGTTCCAATTCACCTTCATTTCTGATGCAGACTCGTATATCGATATGCATTCGTGAAGAGCGGAGAGAGAGGATACTGAGTTTTCTGTAATGGCCGAGAAGTCGTCTGCTAGAGCGGAAACCTTGAGTTCCAAATACGGAGGCACGCTCAGACCCTTGTATGCTTCGTGGGCCCTGACCATGTTTAAGAATATTTCCATTTGGATCACGAAGAGGGACGGGGCCAGAGGGCAACCTTGTCGCAGTGACCTCGTCACCGTGAAGGCTTGGGAGATGAAGCCATTCACTATCACCCTTCCGTGCGATCCGTGGTAGAGGTTTTCTACCCATCGACGGTAGTTAGGGCCAATTCCAATTCTGCGAAGGACTTCAAGCAAGAAATTCCAGTTCACTCTATCATAGGCTTTTTCGAAATCGATAAGGAGGATTGCAATGTTAGATTGTTGTGCCTTGATGATATCCAACGCCTGACTGATGACCATGACATTATCTAGGACTTGTCGCCCCGGGATGAAGCCCGGCTGGTCTGGGTGGATGAGTCTCGTCATTAAAGAGGAGAGGCGTCCCGCCAAGGTTTTAGCCAGAATTTTCCCCACCACATTGAGGAGGGAAATCGGGCGATAGTTCCTAACATCCCGACGATCACCCTTCTTATACAATAATGTGATTACCCCTTCCGTCGTCCTAGTTCCCAACTGGTTGCCTTGAAGAACATTGTTGAAAACTCGCAGTAAATCCGGAGCGAAAGTGTCCCAGAAGAGCTCGTAGAATTCTATAGGAAGACCGTGGGGCCCAGGACACTTGCCCCTGGCCATGCTTTTCATTGCAGCAGTCAATTCCGAGAGTGTGATTGGTTGTTCCAGTTCTTTTTGCTTGTGGACTCAAAGGAGACTGTGAGTTGACCCCCATAGGCGATCTTCCCATTCCTCTGCTATGATTGGGTCAACTGTCTGTTTTTCTGAGGTAAGTAACTTTTCGTAGAAAGTACGTACAAAAGCACAGATAGCTTCTGAGGACCTGGCAGGAAGGATTGTGTTGTCGAAGGGGTGAAGGAGTTCTACCAAGGACGGAGAACTTCCTTTTGCGTGCCACAGTTTCAGAGTGCTAGAGTTCATTCTATCATTAAGTAGGATGTTGTCAATACGTTTGAACCTGATCCAAGATTCTTGCCTGTTGATTTGTTTGTCCTGCCATTCGTGCTGTCAAGCGTCCCTTCTAAGAGACCAGTGACTGTCCAAGAACGAGAAGAAGCCCAGTCTGGTTTCTGCATTTTCTATTTTCCTTTTTAGGATTATCTCGTCATGTTTCCTGTTTGCTGCTTTGATTCTTGATATGTTATTGAGGAAGCCTGAGAGGAGATGGATTCCCTTGTCGAGCCAGTCCCCTGTATCGGGGAACAGTTCTGACGAGGCTCTCCATTCCTCGCAAAAGTTCCTCACCCACTCGATCATTTCTTTGTCATTAAAAATCTGCATGTTCAATTTGAACGTGCCCCTTCCTCTTTCAAGAGGGGGGCCAGCTGATAAGGTGATTGAGACTGGCTTGTGATCGGACATTGGGTCTGGTATACTTTCGGCTCTAAGTATGAGTGGAATGACCTGTTCGGAGCAGAAGATTGCATCCAATCTTCTGCTAACCACCGGGGTGGTGGACAAGAACCATGTGTAGTCCCTTTGGTCGGGGTGCAGCAGGCGGTAAGGATCAAACAAGCCTTTTTCGGCAAGCAGCTCATTCAAAGCTATGGATTCCCCTGGGTGAGATAGTGGAGAGGAGGAGTCCAGTGCCTCGTTTGGCACCGTGTTCCAATCCCCACCTACCACCAAGAATTCGGAGTCAGGAATTACGTGAGACAATTGATTAAAAAAATCCGTTTTAGTTGTGTGGTCGGCAGGGGCATAAACAGACAGAAAAGTCCATTCTCGAGAGTCTATAGACAATGTTACCCGGGACCATCTTCCTAGCAGATCAGAGTCCGCTTGGGAGATGGTTTTGCAGATGGAGTTATGAATCAGAATCCCAGTGCCCCCCCTGGTGCCCTCTGCAGGGGCCCAGATCTGGGGTCCTGACCACCAATTTCCAATTTCGGCCAATCTTTCATTATTGAACTTAGTTTCCTGGAGCAAGATGATGTGTGCCCTGTTGTCGTGGATCCAGGATTTAAGCCTGGCACGTTTGTGCCTCCTGTTTTCGTCTACCAATCCACGGATATTCCAGGTGGCCACCTTAAGCCGAGAGCCCATCCGAGGCTGCGGATGGGGCCTGCTGTTGGATGGCGCCCATAATTGGCAGCGGGGAGGGTACTGTCTGCCGTCTTCGAAATCCTCTAGTCTGTTCCTTTTAGGAGAGCCTGCTCTGAGAAATCTATCCAAATCCATGCCTTCGCCGGTCTGGACTCCGGCAATGCCAGTTGGATTCTTCTCACTGAGAGGGGCGATCCTCCCCTGGTTGTCCTGCAAGAGCCCCTGTTGGACAACCAGTGAGGGATCTGTGCCATTGAGGTCGAAAGAACGAAGTTCGCCATATGAGGACGAACCTGCTGCAGGGTTGTTCCCTCCACTTGCGTCAACACCTTTCTGAGACAGTGTTCGTGCTTCCTCAGTAGGGGCCTTCGTGGATAACCATGAGGGACCTCCCATTGAGGGTTGTTGTTGCCCTTGGGGGCCCAGCTTCGAGGGTGTGTATCCACCTTGCTTCTTTTTTCGGTTTTTCCCTCCCGCCTGTTGCTTCTGGCCAGCCACAGGTAATTGCAGTTGAGGGTTGAGGCATTGGAACGATCTGCCAGTGTTGTGCTTGTCCTCAGTTTGTTTATTACTAAAAGAGGACAGAGTCGACTTATTCTTTTGCTGAGGAGTGAACTGGCGGGGCTGCGGAGGGGCGTTCTGCAGGCCTCCTTGCCCTGCCTGTCCCGTTGGGTTCGAGGTGAGAGAGGGAGAGCCTCCTTCAACAGATTTCTCGTATGGTGCGGTTTCCTCTTCACAGAAACAGTCATCGTCCATCCGAATGTAGCGATTACAACCTTTGCGCCACGGTGTGTTGCTATTGACCAGATCGCCTGAAAGCATCCCTTTCCCTGTGAAGACTTTCAATGTTTTCACAAAGTACTGTTCCGCGCTTGGGTGCAAACCGAACTTGATGTTCCCCAAGTTAGGGTCAACCGGATCATTAACAATGTCATAATCTTTTATCACTTTCCCCATAGCGAGCTCAATACCAGTCCTGATATACATAGAGGCATCGATGGGGAACCTCATTGCCATGATCGAGTAAACAGTCTTTTTCTCCTCTTCCCTGTGTGCAAGCCAGTCTGCCTTTGGCATCCACTGTCTAAACAAAATCTTATACGTTTTCCTTTTCTCCACGAAACGTTCCATTCCTTTTTGCAACATCCACTCGGCCAACAGTGGCAATTTTGGAATGTAGGTAAGTTGCATTTTGCTCTCACAGTGAGTAAGCCCTCTATGTGTGAGGAGCTTATCCTCGGGCAAGAGTGCATCTTCAATAGAGCGAACGATATCGAGTTTACGATCGTTGGGGAGATTTTTGGCTTCCCCTTGAAAGAGGATTGCAACGACATGCTGTTTGAGGAAAGCCTCTTCGACTTTACGAATGATCTCCTTGGGCCGTATCTCTATACAATCATCCTCCTCGTTGATTGTGGCCTCGACATAATCTGACACGTCTTGTGATGTTTGGTTTAAATACCAGTCGCCTACCATAGTGGCTAACCGGCTGAGTTCCTCGTCCGACAGAGGGGGATGCTCTGTTTGCTCCCCCTCCCTGGAGAGGCCGTGAGATTCTGCCGAGTCCATCTTCTGGCCGCTCGCGCAGACGCTCAGCGTCTTGATGTGTGCACGAGACCGGGTTCTGACCGGAGCGGGAGCGAAGTGCTTCGAACACCTATCGACTCTGGTAGGCGGGCGAAAGCTTCGGGCCACTAAGCGGGCGAGTAAGTCGGCGTGGAAGAGATGAATCGAGTGGATCGAGTGGGGGGTATGCTATAACGAGTGACGCAGGGGAGTGAGGTCCATAACGAGGAAGAGGAGGTGTGAGTTTTCCGGCCGAAGAAGAAAGAGCGCTCGAAGATGAGAAGGGAAATTTACAGGAAAACCAGTCATAGCAATTCCATACGATTGAGAGGGGGATAGCGTGTGAATGTTCCGAACGAAGAGAGTTGCATCCGAGGATGGGACGGATAGGTAGGATTCCGGGCATAGAGAGGGCTTGGCTTCGTGGGTGGGTAAGTTCCTGGTGGGGAGGGTATAAGCGAGAGTGCGGGGGGAGAGGGAGGGACTATGCGCCTATCCCGATCGTCGGGGGAACGCGTGAGGACTTGAGAAAAGGAGCGGGGTCAGGCGGGGAATGCGGAGGCGGAGTGGGGGGAGAGGAGCAGGGCCAGGCGGGGAATGCGGAGGCGGGGTGGGCGGAGAGGAGCTGGGGGTGGAGCGCCCCACGGGGGTGAGTGGACTGGACATTGTTGAAGGTTTGGCGGGTTGTGATGTCAGGGGATAGTGTAGCTACGGTGTACGACTCTGGGGGTGAGACCGGGCAGGGAAACTGGTGGGGTAGGAGGGGTAGGCGTAGAAATGTAACTTATGGGGTGAGGTGGGGGTCTGTGGCGGGGGCGGTAAAGCTGCAGGGTGGGGAATCGCGGTGCATTGTTGAAAGGTACCAGAGAAGAACTCGTTAGTGAAAGGCACTTGCTTGGTGACTGGTGGTGTGAAAGCCTTTTCGTATAGCCTAGAAGAAACTATGACGGGCGGAAAATGAGAATGAAATAAGCTGGGGAGGGGTCGGCTTCAGGCTAGGTCTGATTAAGTCAAGATGGGACCTAGTGCTAGGTGAGCCGCGAGCCGGGACGGGGTAGGAAATTACCAATAATAATGGGGAACGTGACGAAATAATGTTGTGAGAGAAAGGAAGAAATGATAAAAGCAAGTATACTAAAATTAGGGCGTAGTGAGGGCGTGCTGTGGAAGTATAGATAGACGGGGGGGGGGGAGACAATCATTACCCAATGCCAGAGAAAAGCGGTGGAAGTAGACGTTTGGTTAAAAGGAGTGAATTATTATGTAGGGCGACATCCCTAAAAAGGAATACAGGAGGTAGGAGCTCTTTCTGGTCTGAGGAAAATAAAGTTTAGGGAGAGAAATTTACTCGCGAGAGGCGCAGTGAGGGCACACTGTGAGAGTGCGGGTAGGCCGGGGAGAATTCAATCTTTACCTGATTCAAGAGGGGGGCGGAGGGAACAGGCAAAAAGGGTAGAAAACTTACTTAGAAGGCAATCTCCCCCAAACGGGGATATAGGAGGTAAGCATTCCTTCTGCCCTACAGGGAAGACGAAAGTAAGGGACGACAGTTGTTAGCGGGAGAGACGGCCGAGATGGGAAGGATGTGGAGGTAAGGGACACATTCAAACAAGAAAAGAATAGCAAGTTAGGGAGATAATTAGGGATATAAGGAGGGAGAGGAAACCCGGCTTATCCAGAAGGCCAAAGGACGATGAGAGTTTTACCTCCGCTCCGACGATGCTCGACACGCTCCTTTTTTACAACTCCGAACAGATTACCGTAGGCGAGACCACAAGAACCAAAGGGCCTGTTGGCCCGTGCTGTAGCGGAGCTCCATGACACAGCGCTTCGCTGGTAGTGACTGTTCATTACTGAGCGAGAAACTTGGCATGACTGTTCCTGACTTGTTTGTGCTGGGAAAAGAAAGGGGTATCCGGCCGCCTCGCATTCCTTTGCTCTAGAGCGGAAAGAGCACGCCGCGGAGGGTGTGGACGGCAATGCTGCCCCTTGTCTCCTCGCCGGGAGAGAAAGGTAGGCTGGCTATGGTGAAAATTAGGTTACCACAGTTAACACAAAGCAGTGCAGCAGCTCAGACGCAGCGCAAAATTTGCGGCGTCGCTGGAGCGCGCTCCGGGTACCCACTCTGTCCATGGTCAGTAATTGGAAATACTTTCGTAGAACCTTGGAAATACTTTCTCCTCTCAGCTGATTGCTGCCTGATGTGCTTATGAAACTGGAGCGTTGTACCCCTTTTTATCTGTCCTGGCTTCCTATGAGGCTAATTCCCTTTATGCAGTGGGATTCTCTCTCGTACCTACTTGCCCATCAACAGTCCCTACCTGACGTGGAGAAGTGACCCTTACAAACTCTGTGAGCTTACCTCTGTTGTTTCCTGGAGTTGCTAGAACCCTAATACCTGAACTACTTTTTGTGAGCCTCTACTCTCTCCCTACTTGCGAGCTTTTGGCGAGTTAAATATTCTTGTGTGATCTGTCATGTGGTCCGTTATTTGCTGGTTCATCCATATAGTTCTGGGGTAGTCTCGTGGCGTTGTCTGATCCCTGATAGTTCTGAGCTGGCAGAGCTAACCAATCTTTCAGGACTAATCTATTCCCCTCTGTCATGCCTGGATTCCCACGGCCTAATTTAGATATGGTAAATCTTTTGGTGATCTCAAGCCTTTTGTCCGGGGCATTTTGAATTTGGGTCCCTGTTTTTTTTTTCCAGGGTGCATGGATTTCAGTTTCTATCTGGGTTAGGCTGACATCCTTGCCAGACGGACGGGGTGGGCTCCGTCCGGCAAAACCAGATGAGCCAAAAAACATCCCAGGAATTTTTTTTTTTTTTTTGAAGATGGGGTTGGAGTGCGCTCG